TCTGGGGCCGAGAGGGGTGAGAGAGGTGATGGCATGCATCAATACAAATTATCTATGGAGTGTTATCAAGGACTGACACATCTATTTGAACAATAAATCAAGAATTCAAATGCCCTTTAGTTTCGAAAGCAGGTTTACTAGTTTAGAAAAGACGTGTTTTATGCAGTAAATTAACGAGGGTTTGAATGTTAAACGAAATAATCAAATTTGCTATTTCAGACTTCTATAAATCTACATAGCAACACACCCAGGACCATAAAACTGAAAGCAGAAACACTTAAACAAACCTCATTTTAGTCCTAATGCACATTTTTATTATGGAAAAGCTATTAATATAAACACTGATAATTACTTCTCACTGACAAACGGGGGCCCGCTACATGTTTTCCACAATAGCTACAACATCCAATTATCTGCAGATGTTGGCTTCGCAGTACCCTGGTCTACCACATCTGTTTGTTTGTGGGAGATCTCATTATACCACACGACTGTTTGAAAGCTCTGCTTCAAGCACTGCTTGGCACATTTTATTGCAGCATGTTGAACATTTACAATAAACATTCCTGACTGCTGTAAAAAGTTTGCATGTTCAACTCGATGACTTCCAACAGTGAAATTCTCCTCATGCTTAAGCAGACAGTTTCCAAGTCAGCATTCATTCCACTTTCTCTGTCTTTAAATAGTACCATGCAAGAACAAAATAAATGGTCATTTTGACAGACGTCAAGAGGAAATTATATGTATTATATATTATTTATTGTATATTTTATAAATGATCCTAAACTAATTGTAAAACACGAAAATAAGACCAACTTTGAAACAACTTGAAAAAACATGAGACACAATATTGCGTGAGAATGTTTTGAGGGTTTTTTTTTTATTGTGGAAAATAAACCTAAGTATCTGGAGAAAAACCACACAGAAAACCTGCACACAAATGTCCAGCCAAACTGAGATTCAAAAGGAAAACCAACCAGAGATGCCACAAATCTATCAAGATTGCACCATATTCTTATCGTGTCTCTTAGTTAAAAATATAATTAACAGTGCAAGGATCTCCCTCAGCCTTTAATGCAAAAGTGTCAAACTAAGATCATCTTGTGATGGGAAAGGATGACGTAATGGTCTTTTAGATAGATATGTTTGCGCTGCTCATATCAGTTAGCTGTGGTGGCCATCTTGAAATGGATTGACCCCAAATGTTTCTATCGCTTTACATTGTAGCTGTTTTTGTTTAGATTTTTAATCATAGCATTTTCTTTCATTTATTTTTCCCAATTTCTATGCTTTCGTTTATGATTGTCTACTGTTGTCATCACTCTTTGTTAAAATTAGGTCTCTCTTGTAAATGAGTCCTCGAGGCTCAATGGGATTAACCTGTATAAATAAAGATTGAATTAATGTTGCAGTCATAGATCTGCTTTCAACAACTACGTTCTTGGAGTTTCTGTTATGATATGATCGACTTGAGGAGCATGAGGAGCAGAAAAGGCTGCAGAAGACATTCAGCCAGTGCTGGAGCATTACCTGCCTATGGTAGTCTTGTTCTAGCGTTAACTCGTGTCTAAAACCAAACATTAATGATTTGTATTTTTCTCCGTGCCTCCAGAGAGTTACTCTTCATTTCCTTCAGTTTCTTGAATCCTCCTGTGTGCCTCCACGCCTTCCTACCACTTGCCTAACGCCTGCCATCATCCAGACCAGAGGTGGGCAACTTTTTTTTTTCCTCCAAGGGCCACATCAAGATGTTTAAAGCAATCAAAGGGCCACATAAAAAAATGGGA